ATGAGTCAAAAACAGTTAAAAAATGTCAGTAAACTGTAGCAAATTTCTGATGAAATAGTACAAACTTAGCACAGCGTGAAGGACATTAAGGGGGAGGGGGACGTATCTAAGAAAGCTGGGCTAGACGTAGCATTAAAAAGTTACATGGAACAATGAACAAAGCAGACTGCTGACTGCTAATATTCATGCAATGTTAGGGGAAGACTCAAAAGGCTAAGGGCATTTTGAGGACAACACAGCTGAGTGACGTGAATGCACCAACCTCAGGAACGAATGAAAAGTGTTGCCAGCTACATAATAAGTATGGTGAGGATGAGCACAATGATATGTACGGTGAGAATGAGCTGTATGTATGTATGTATGTATGTATGTATGAATGTATGTATCTATGTATGTACGTATGCGTGTGTGTATGCGTGTGTGTGTGTGTGTGTGTGTGTGTGTGTGTGTGTGTTCAGTCTTATAAGGTATGTGATTTTTTTAAAAGTAATAAAGTTCAGCAATCGTTCAGAATAATGAAAGGTAATGCAAAATTTAATAAAAAGCACCAGTCTTTTTTCCCATGGGCATCCGCGAAAAACTAACAAAAATTGGAATTTCTGTGAGCTGCTTGTGTTAGAATGCTAAACGATGTAGTGTATATGTGTAGGTACAATACATGGATTCATAAATTTCAACCGCTAAATGTGGAGCCAGAGTTGTTGGTATAATGGTTAGCATATCGGGATTTGAAGGATCCCGAGAAAGTACGATTTCCTCCAATCCTCTTTTGCAGAAAGGCTCCTTTTGCGGCGTCTTTTGTTCGGAAAAAATAACTAGCATTGACTTTAGAGAAAGAAACCCATCAATAATATCCCGAAAAAATCTAAAAGATAAGAATTATAGCCAAAAGAAAAAAAGGGAAAAAAACATGCCTTTTAGCCTGTCTACATCGTCCAGAATCGATATTTTTTGTTGTAGAAGGGTGTTGGCTGTTTGTTGGGCCTCTTCCAGATCATCGGCCAATCGAACAACCAGTGCTTGATCATGATCTAATTTTTGGCGAAGCTCTTCGCACTCTTTTTGCCTTCCATCCAATGCTTCCCATGCATCATGCAATTTTTCTCTATAAGCAAAAAAAAGTAATAAATTCACAAGATAAAATTTGAAAGGGAATTATAAAGCAATTTTGCTCATCTAAAAATAGTTAAAGTTAGTAAATTCTGCGAAAAAAATAACTGAAAAAGCGAAAGTTTGTCACCACTTACTAAACTTTAACTCAAATTTTTGAAAAATTACTCCGTATTCATGAATTTACTAAATTATTACTAGTTCTTTCTACTGAATTCACCAAGTTTCATTTTTAACTCTTGCAAAATTACTCTGTACTTGAACTTTCTGCGTGCAAAAGTGGAAATTTATTTTGTAATTTTTGATTCTTTTGAAAGATTTGCTAACACACAAAACCAATGCAACCACTAACAATCTCGAGCACCAAGTTATGATTTTCCCGCTATCAGAAGAACCTCGGGGAACTAAATTTCTCGGCAGAAAAGTGAGTTTTACGCCACTGTAATTTGCCAAATACTCGTGCTTATGAGTTAAAGCGTCATCAGTGGACGGAACTGAAAAGTCGGAAATTTTCACTGAGGAATCGACCCCCTTCCATAATTTTATGCCTTATTCAACAACCCTCAAAAACGCTACACTGTAAAATCTAGAAAAACAGAAAAATTAAAAAAATAAACTCAAAAATTACTTGTGGGAATTGAGCAGTTTCAGCAGGCGAGCATTCTCTTCCATTGTCCATTCGCGATCAGCTCTCAGACTATCCAAACTTGCATTCATGTGCTCCATCTGTAAAGCAAGAAATGCTAATTTTCGTCGAAAAAAACATTACAAAACATGAAAATTCGAATTTTGCTGAAAGAAAAATGCAGCTGAAATACTGTAAAAGCTTTTTTAAGACAGAAAAATCGCAAAAAAAAAAATGAAAAAATTTATGCAGAAAAGTTACTTTTTCGGCATGCTCTGTGTTCAGCGCTGCAACTCTGTCTTCTAAATCACGGATTCTTCCTTGCCCAGATGCTCGAGCTTTTAGAACTTGATTTCGACCTTCCCGTTGAGCTTCTTCCAATTTGATTTCTAGCTTAAACAATTTTGCTCACAATGAAGCAGGCTAGGCGAAGTCATCAGGATCTCCCCCAATCTAATGAAGTTGAGTGTTTTAAAACAGCTACAACTCTGAATCCGTCTATTTTTGATGAGTGACGAAGTGAATTGTTGAGTTTCTATAGCAATCACAAATTTGGTACAAATCACGAAACAGAAAAGCAAATGAAAGAAATTTTTTGCTTTCTTTGCGAAAAAAAAGAAATTTAAAAAGTCTGACATTAAAAGTGAGACTACAATTACAGATAATGATGTCAATGAAAAGATGTATTTAAAAAATCCTCAATTTGCACATTTTTCATAAAATACACCCAGAACGAACCACTGGACCGATCATATGGCGCAAATGAGAGACAACAGATGGACAAAACGGATTACTGAATGGTACTTACGCGAATGTTGAAATATATGAAGAATGTCAGTGCGGCGGAAAAGATCTGCTTGAATGGCTGTATGAAATTATGTGGATGAGAGAAACGTAAAATAGAAAAGGGAGAAAACTAAGTAACTTAGTGCAAAACCAGTAAAACTAATAATAAAACCAAAACGTTAGAGAGGCATTCATAAGACAGAGGTATTTTTCCACTGTGAATCACAACGAAAAGCAGCGATTCAAAAACGTTAAGGGGTGACCTTTGTCAAATATGAAAAGTCGTTTTTCTCTTTTCACAACGCAAAATTTTCTTCTTTCACGGGGAAAAATTCCTAATTCGTCTTGTTCTCTTCACATTACGTCTCAGAAATAAACAGCCCCTATTTTTGTCGGCATAATACTGGATCGATGAGATTGGGAATACGCGCAACTGCCGATCTCCTCTAACATTCAAGGGTTTCTCCGTATTCGCTCTCAATGAGAAGCAGAGGCACGGAAGGAGTAGCGAAAATGGCATGAAGTACCATCAGCAACCAATCGCTCGCAAAGTCGCCAATAACTCTCCTTTTCAAGAACTGCTCAGAAATAAGCTGATGGCGGGTTTGACTCCTTGACGTGCAAGAGGGAGTGGAACTGCACTCACGCGCATGTTCTCGACCGGGCGGTGGTGCTGGACACAATGTCGTAGTTGAGGAAACCTCTGAGCCATGGCTTGGGTCGACATCTAAGAGGCCTTCGACTCGGTATCCCATAGTTACCTTCTATGGGTACTTAAGTCTATCCGCACTCCTGGTAAAATCCTCCGGATCCTACAACGGCTCATTTATCAACGAAACGATTTAACAAAAGGTGCTGGTTATAATAAGTGGGATAGATTAGCTGGTACCACACTTCTCTAGACTGCCTGAAATCGCACGATTTAGTTTGTCAAATTCTCATTTTTTTTTTTGCCCCTCATAAGATTTTATTTCTCCCTTCATGAGGGTTGCAGTAAAATCAGTTCTGACTTCTCAAAACGTAGGTGACACAGCGGTGAGGCATCGCGAGGCGTTCCGAGCGCTCAATTTCTCAAGAAATCACTTAAACTTGGTAAGCAACACAAATGAGATATACGTAACAACAATGAAATTCACGGAATAATACTTACTCTTTCCAGTAACACCAAAAAAGCTCCCTCACACATACAACCACACAAATATACACACACACAAATCAGCATGTAAAATTTGCAAATTCATGAAACCCAACTGGGCCAACGAATTACCAAACAGCCTCTGGGACACTTTTTCTGCCGAGCCACGGATGAGCCAGGGGATTCGAAACCGAGACGCCAGCGCGGCAGATAGGCACACTGCCGCTGAGCCAAGCACGAGCCCGGGGAGGTGGGAAGGATTCGAACCCCGGACGTCAGCGCGG